TTAAAATAATTTATGGAAGTAATACATAAATGACATAATCATTATTATTTAAGGTAAAATCAAATATATAATATTTTGTATTAATTATAATTAAAAAAATATTTAAGTAATTATCTATTAAAAAAATAATTATTTTGATTTACTTCTAATTATAAGAAATTATAAGTTTTTAATAATCACTTCAAATTTGATTATAATAAAATTTTTATTTTAAAATATTTAAATCTTCGTAATAATAATGATAAATAATTTAAAATTTTAAAAATATTTGAATATTTATAATAATTATTTTAGATGTAATTTTAATTTAATTATTACTTAAATTATAAAAATAATAATAACGATGTATTTTTAATTTGGTTATTATACAATTCTTAAATTTTAAAAGCATTTTAGATTCTCATTTAATTTAGTTACAATATCATAAATAAATAGATGAATTAAAATAAATTATTCATAAATATTTTCTACTATAGGAATTAAGCACTTTGAAATAAGTAAGAAAAAAAGATAATTTCTATTGTGAAAAAAAAAACCTAAAAATATATTATCTTTTTTTAACAAAAATATTTAATTTCAATAAATCTATAGATATACAATAAGATATAAATTTAATTGACTTTAAGGGTCGACATAAATAAATTTGAAGATATTTAACTTTTTTGTTACATATAATTAAAGGTAATACTTTTAGAACAAATATTATAGAGTGTTAGTGTCTTTCTCACTTATAATTGACTATTGAATTAAATGTTCATTTCGTAGATCAACTTTTTTTTTTTTAAGATATTTTCCAATAATTTTCTCAAAATAAACCATTGTTTTTCATTTAAATTTATATTCTCGCTATCCCATCGCAATTTTAGTTACGACAGGAGGATTCAACTTTTTGTGAGTTTAGAAGCTTGTAGAGATTTTTGGAAATTTAGGTAAGGAAATTTAGTAATATTTAATTTTTATAGTATTCTATGCTAGAAGAATTGAATTGTAATAATGACTTGGTCACATTGTATAATTTGTAGAGATTTGATTGTTGATAATATTGATATTTGCATGTGATTGAATAAGTTGAACTAGATTAATGATGTGTGGAAAGATGTGCATGAAATGTTAGGGTAGAATAATTATATTTAGACTAGGTATCACGTGCTTGGTATAGTAGAGTGTTAAAGGATTGAATTTGGAGCCCGAAAATTTGTTTGGTCTATGTTTTGCAAATATGTTATCTATATATTTCACTCAAACGAAATGTACAATAGATGTAAAGGTTCCTCTCAAGTGTATTTTCTATCCATTAAAGAAACTTTTTCTCAAGCAAAAGGGCGGTCTCACTCAAGAGAGAAAATTTTCACTAACCAAAAATTTCCAAAAAAGAAGGAGAATTTTTGCTCAAGCAAAAAAATTTTTCTTAAGCAAAATTTTCTAGCTTGTTTTCTGTTTAAACTTATAAAATTATAAAAAATAACTTTAAACTTTAAATTAAATGTTCCAAATTAAAACCTCAAAAATAAGGAAAATAAGAATTAGCTAAAAAATGATATATACAAAGAAAGTTATGATAAAAGGAGTAGGTAGAGGTAAAAAAAAAGTATATATATATATATATATATATATATATATATATTATTGTAATATGAGAAATGATATGTATATGACTTAAGATATTAGAATGTATGTTCTGAATATGAAATGAGTTGTGTTGAGTGTTATTGTATGCATAGAAAAATATTTTGTTGTAATGTGAGAACTATCATGAGATATCCATATATGTATGTTATATCTATGATGAATTATAAGATGATATGGTGTTGTTTGTTCTTGAGACTAAGATATATTTGTTGAGTATTAGTCGAATAAAAAAAGTGACTCATAATTAATTGAGATATATCTATGTATGTGAGGTTAAGTCGAACTAAGGAGGCGATCCATAATTGACTGAGATGTGTATGATTGTGGGTACTTAGGACGTAGTATATGGTGTAGTTTGTAGGGATATTGAATTGGAAAATTGATGAGATTATCCCAACTCCTTTGATTACTAGAATCACATAGATGAAATAATCAGGTGGTGAGAGTTGAAGAAGATTTCTAATGACTTACCCTACGAGATGAAAAAGAATTATATCTTGATGATTCATTTAGAAGTTTACTCTGATCACATGTGAATGTATATATCATATCATGAAAAGAAAAATAATTTTTAACAAGACGATTTTACATCAATTATAAAAGAACTGTGTAGAAAAAGACATAATGTCAAACTTGTAATTTAGAATAAGTTTTTATATTGATTGTATTTTAACTGATTAGAAAGTCACAAACATCGGTTATAAATGTAGAAAGTCATATTCAACATTGGTTCATCAAATAATCAATGTTGAATGTGACTTTCTACGTCAATTATAATATAACCAATATAAAAAGTCTTTTATAGCATTACACTTATCCTCTTCTACAAAACATTTCTCCCATTCTACGAAATAGTTCTTCTTCTTCTTCCTTTCTTATCTATCGCTGTTGACCTTCCTTACCTCTCACCCTCCCTTGAGTTGTTTCCCTTCATTGCAGCCCTAACCTCTATACTATTGCGCCCTCTACCTCACTCTCTGCTCATGCACCTCCTCCCTTTAGTGGTTCACACCCACAACATAGTCCATAACCCCCTCCTTGTCCTCCTCCACTCGATTCCCTCCCTTGTCATGGGCTCCGCTTAAGTTGTCCTTAACTCCATCTATGTCCTTAACAACTCAATCAATAATGTCCTATGGGGCACAATGTGTGGGAGGAGTTGAAGTCCCAGGTTCCTATGTGGGGCCATCATGGCTAATTTGGGTGAAAAATTATGTGTGGTACGGGACTGTTAAAGAAATGGGAAAGAGATAGAGATTTGGTGTGCTGAGATTGGAGTGAAGAAGAATTTAGATGGAGAATGGTGGGGTTAACTTGGTTAGTTTGGGAAGGTCTTTATGTTTCCAAAGACTATTTTATTATGCACTGTTCTTATGTTCCCTTGCGACCTTAGTATTGTAAGCATTATTTGAATTTTATTTTGAATTGCTACCACTTGATCTTTTAAGTTATTTTTGAGTTTGGTAGAATTTATCATTCCAATGTTTGTGTCATTGCATGTGAAGTTGTGAATACATAAAGTGCAGTTGCTCAAGTATTAGTGTGAATGTAAGTAAATATTTTTGAGTTTTTATGTTTGTTTTTGGTTTGGATTTTATTTATAGGTGGAAAATGTCTGAAAAATAAAATTCAACATCGATTGTAAAAGACTCGATGTCGAAAGTGCTAATATTTAACATCGGTTTTCTTTAGAATTAATGTTGAATGTATGCACTTTTAACATTGGTTCTTTTATAATCGATATTGATTTTCTTAACTTTTAATGATGATTATTATAATATTGTATTGAGTACTCTTGTGTTCAAATGCAAAATTTATGAGTTTAATTTAATATTTAATTTTCGGAAGTCATCTAGAGTTTGTGTGATGAATGTGATGTATTTATGTTTGTCTAATGTGATAATTAGTTTGTATAGATATAAGGTGATGTATCAATTCTGAAATAGATTTGTATAGTTGAAAGTATATATATATATATATATATATATATATATATATATATATATATATATATATATATATATATATATATATATTATATATTTTATAATGTATTTAAATTTGAAATATGTTTATTTTAAATTATTAACTTACTTTGTGTGTCTTGTGTGTTATTTTAAAATAATATTAATTTATTTTTTTATGTTTTATACATACGTATGTAATTTCTTATAAAAACAAATATATATTTAAAAATATTTTTTTAATATAAATTTTATAAATATTTATGCTAAACCGTTATAATCGATGATTTATCAAGATAAAATGATAATTTCTTAATTTATTTATACTTTGTTATATATGTAGTAAGGAAATTAATTATATTTTCTTAAATTTGTAAAAGTATTAAACTATTTAAATAATAATTTTTAAAATTTATTTCGTACACCAATTTATTGATTAATATATTTATGTAAATATGTATTACATTAATTATAATTAAAACTTAATAATATATATATATATATATTAATATAGGATCATGGAAAATAAAACTGGTAGGAGTTTTTTAATATTTATGTAAATCTAATAATAGATTATTTACACATACAAAAATAAAACACAATTTCATTATTTTAAGTATATAGTAATTTAAAATTATATGAAACGAAAATAAAATATTTATTATTGATTTTTTTAAATTAATGTATGATTACTTTATAAAATATAGTCTGTAGTTTTAATTCTATAATCGACTTTTCTAAAACAATAATAGCTATGATTAGTATATACACGCATAGACTTTTTTTGTTTTAATATATCTTATATCCACACAAATTTAAATGATCTCTTTTTTATTGGTTATTAGTTTTTTGTTTTTAAATTATTTTATTATTTTTTTAATTATTAATACGCTTTTTATTTTCTTTATATACATGTTATTTTTAAGCAATTTTTTTACTTCATTATTTTGTATAATATTTGAAGTTATAACAATCTTATATATTGCTTTATTATTATATTTTTCATTAGTTTGAATGAATTTGGTCCACTTAATTGAATCTCCCCAATGTTATTTCCAACTATGTTTCTTCTTTCACTTACTTCAGGTTTTGTTTACAATTTGTAAATCTCTTAGTTACTTATTTGGATAATTTTCTGTTCTCTTAAAGTGAGTATTAAACCGTATTTATATAGTAGGAGAATTTAAACTTATAAAATTTGAAATAAATTTTTGGCAGAAGTTTTCTTGAATTGTAACGAGATTTTATTGAATGTTTACAATGTACATATAAAAGCTTACAACTACGAAATGATAAATAATAATATCATATAACTATATATACAGTGAATTGCAACAACGTTGAATATAATTTCTTGATTTTCACTATAGAAGAAATTTTAAAATAACTTAATTTGGGTTTATCTAATTAATTAGCTGCCCAGAAACCATGAAAACCTAGAGGGAAATTTAAGTGGCTTGGAATTTCGATTCTGGCAACAAGGGCATTATCTGATCCTATTCTTTTCGGGTTCAGGATCACGAGGTAACATCTATTCACTGAAACAGCATACTGCAAAATAAATAATGAAATGTCAATATGTCATCATCAGAAAAAAAAAAAAAAACCCTCTCACTAATCATTTATGAATATAAAACCCTTCAATTTTCCCTTTAACTATACTTGATATATTTTCTTACATATGCAAACTTTCTTTATGTGATTAACTTTTTCTGGGAAAACTATGGCCAAATAAAGTCAAAAAGCACCAGCCACAACTTCTTTTATGGGATGAAGTAAAAAATAATACAAATAATTAAAATTATTTTAAATAATTTATATTTTCACTTTCAAATAACTATTTTAATAAACTAGTCAAAATATAAAAGGAGACAAGGTTGTATAAATAAAAAATTATGTTTGTCCTTGTCATCAAATCACTCTCTTCGGTATATTCCTTCATGATGAATAGTACATAATTTATAATTATTAACCATTGTTAAGAGAATATTTTGTACATGGATACTATATGGAGTAAAGAAAAGTAGACGACAAATTAACATTGATGCTCACCTCAACAACAAGAAGATAGCCATCATCTTCTCCGTCACCTTTGGGAACAAAAATAGGTTCACCAATAAATCTTCTACTTCCAGCAGTCCAAGTTTGTGCAGAATCACTGTCTAGATCTAATTTCACGACGGTGTCGAAAGGGAAACATGGCAATGTTTTGCGAGAGCCTAAGGTTGTTGCTGCATACAGATATTTGTTTTTCTTCCCGGAAAATGCTGGATTTGTAGCAGGAAAATCTGAGGATTTCTTCCATTTCTTCATGGGCTTCACATCACATTCTTGGCAATTGTAGTCTGAATCTAATTTTATGGATACCTGCATCATATTGTACGACATGTTGAGGCCAAAGACAAAAACATAAATCTCATGACCACATGTTTTAATACGTTATATTATTGTTTCAAGTTAATTATGTGGATTTTAATAAATATATATATCATAGAGTTTCACTTGAAATTCGATAAGAAAATTTTATTGAATATATGATCCAATTTACCTTATTTTCTAATTTTTCTATTTTAAAAAACTTTGATTGATGATATATGATAATATAAATACTTTGAATAAATCATTTAAACAATTTTATTTATTAATTTTCACATAAAATGTGAAGTAATATATATATAGTTCTAAAAATCCATTTTCTTTTGTTCATTTGTGAGTTGAAATTAATGGTGTGTCGTATGATCCTTTAGGGATGGTACATATATGTATTTTAAATTTTGTAAAAATAACGAGAAAAATATGTTAAAATCTTGGAATATTTGGTGAGAAACTACTGTACTTTCATTGAGACAGAAGGAATCTAATTGACTTGGTATATCTTGCACTGATTTTGCCTTCTTTCTCCAAATATTATTTTTTACTTACTAAAAAAAAGAGTAAGGAAAGGAGCATCAGTACCTGAACAAGATGAGGCAATAACTCACTTCCACCTTTTACATTCATTATTGCTGGGTCTAGCTTCCTCTTTTGCCAGTCATATCCTGATAATTAACAGAAAGAATGTTGTTAATTAATATAGAGTGTTGGATAAAAATAAGTTAAGAAACTAGAAGAACTAATATTATAAATAAATAAAAAAAATACTATCAAACAACATACCAAATAACTTGCTGAAATTGAACCATTGATAAGAGCAAGCAGCAGCTTGTATTTGGATGTCTAAATTCCCATGTTGATGTCTAACTTCAAAGGCATTGCCAACATGAAGCAACCACAACTGTGAAGGTGCTTCAACTGGAACTCTCCAATCTCTCTCTTTGCCTTTTTGTTTCTCAGGAAACCTTGGAATGAGGTATATGGGAGATGTGCTCTTACTTGGGTTTACTCTTAATGCTGATATCATCGGAGACATCCCATAAACTGCTGCCATTGATCCTGAAAAATATTTAATTTAAGGGCTTCTGTTACAGATAGCATTTTGTTTACATGCGCACGTACTATATCATGGTAGCTAGTCATATTGAAAGTGATCGCTCAAGATTTTTTTATTATGTATCAAACAACATCCATTGATAATAAATGCAACTCTTGATATAGGCTAGTGTGCTGATCTCATCTTTATAATATATTAAAAAATTAATAGATTGATTAGTACAATATTTACTGATAAAAAAAATTGTAAGTCTTAGACAAAATCTCATCTCAAATCATTTTTCTTTATCTAAATGATAAATTTTATCAACCATAGATTGAATTGGTTCTGCAAAATTTTATACAATTTTTCATCATTTTTATTTCAATATTAATATATAAAAAAAATGACATTATAATAGTGATGATATCGACATGAATTATGAAATGATTATTGACTGCGGGTGGTGCTAATTTGCAAACATCAATTCTTACCCAGTACGTCAAGTTTAATGCGATTGGCAAATACTATGTAGTGGGTATCTGTGAAAGCCCAATCATGGATCATCAAGTGATCTGGGATTCTGAAATTTTGCTTCTGTACTACGTTGAAATTTGAGTCATATTCTGCAGAGAACACAAAAATAGGTCAAAAACAAATAAGCAAGAGTGAAATAAGTTAATCTTTTCTCGTGAAATTTATACGAGTAGACTCATTCCTGTTACCAGTAAATGTAAAATTACTGCGTGGAAGCAACATGTCTTCTGCATTGCATGACACAGTGAGTAGTCTGTCTCTTCTAGAATCAACCTTGTAGTGAGACAAGAGTCTCCTTGGGGGCATCTTAAACACTCCTGTATTCCATGAAATAAAGACAAATAAAATATTTTAATGTTATAAAACCTATGAACTATTGTCTTGTACGAAATTCATTGTTACATAACTTAGGTAGATTAATTAAAATATGGCAAAAGTGACAGGAAAAGATATATTTAATTTCCCATTGGGAAACTATAATTAATGACCCTCGTAATAAACTATTTTTGGGGCCACATGGCTTGTAAGTACTCCAGCTAACATGTAGCTTGGAAACCTATTCCTGTGTGCCACTAAACCTAAATTGCTTGTGAAAGTGTCACTACACCTCACTTGTTTAAAATTTTGTTGGAGAAGTATTGGAAGCACTATAACGAGTTGCTTAATTAGAGTCCCATACTTGTACTGCATGTCCATCCAACCACCAATTCCACCCAAGTTGTTTAATATTCTTTTGGTAAGTTTCAAGTTGCTTACCATTATTCAACACCATAATCACACCGTATGGTCACCTTTCTTGTGTCTTGTAATATAATAAACGGAAAAATATTTGACCTAGATGTGCCCATTTTGTCATGTCATCTACATTTGGCGTGGATCATTCAAACTCTTTGGGTCATGTATGGGGAAGGACAGTGGGAGGAGTTTCTACACTAAACATTGTTTATGGTACCGCTCTACTGACTTAATTCAAATGCATTTACACCTTCAAAATTTCAAACTTTTTAATAACACTAGTAAATTTCAAATATTAGTAAACAAAGTTGAATCATGTAGATAGCCTTTTTTTTTTAATTATAATCTCAATGGATGGATCATATTATAGAAGAAAAGTCTCCAATGCAGGTACATATAATAATTATTATTATTAGAATGTATGAATCAAAACGTACCATATAATATAGGCTTCAATAAGAGGGCAGCAACCTCCCAAACATCACCACCTTTGTTATCATCATGATCTTCCAAATCAGCACCATCCATGATGTTGTATTGTCCAATTGTATCCAACGTACCAGCTTGGATCTCATACGGTTCCCCACCTTCCCACATGCACAGGAGTTTTCCCCCCCACTTTAGTACACTAGTGTTAGCTACATTTTTCATGACCTTAGTGTTCCCAACCTTTTTTCCACCCTTCAACACCGAAAATGGTCCTCTATGTGTGAATTTCCATTTCTTGGTCTTTGGGTCATGTTCTTCCACATGTGCTTCCGTTTTAATGTACTTAGCCATGTACTTGACATTCTTAGTAACATTATCAAAAGTGAATGCCCTTAGGTAGCCATGTCCATCCAGAGGGTGCACCGTGGATCCATGATCATCGGTCAAAAGCCCAGGTCCGGTTAAGTAGTACGTGCCGGCGGGGAAATCGGCCGGAATCACACCCTCCACGGTGCTTAGAGTAACGGGTCGGGTTGCTTCGGATCTTTGTGACATGAACAAGAATTGGTAGTCATAATAGGCAGCTGTGGAGTCATCAGGCTCTATGGTTTGTGGAATTGGTATGGCAACAGGGGTATTGGGTGTGGATATGGATATCGCACGAGGTTTGATCGGCGGTGTGGAGGAGGGGGTTTGGTGCACCGGAGGTGATGGCCTAATGGGTGGAGGAATGTATGTTGGGGTGTTGTGGATGGGTTTGGTTTGCATTTTTGGGAGTTACTAAGGCCTTTGAGAGTGTTGTTGGCATGTGAAGGTGGCAAAGAATGTGTGCTATATATAAATGTGTACACGGAATAGTTGCTATATGCTATTGCACTGTGAGTTTCATTTAACTACAGATTTGCCATCATGGCTTTTGCATGGTTATTTTGGTTTGTGCTCTATCAATGTTCATGTGGGGTAGTGTATATATTTATGGCAGCATTATGTAAAATGTGGTGGACACCAAAATTCTTGTATTTTGAGTGGCAGACATGAAGCATTTCAATTTTCTCTGGTTGTACATATTTTATTTGTCTTGTTTTGTTTTACCTTATTTTTAATGGCCTCATGGGAAGAGTAGCGTGGTGCATCATGAGTTGAAGATCTTTTCCCCCTCCTACTGTTATTTTTCTCATTGGGAGGAGCAATTTGATCATTATGCAAGAGCCGCAATACAGCTTTTTGCATTTACAGAAATGCTAGTGCAAACGATATATCTAGAAGAGAAATTAATTATACAAGACTGAAAAGGAAGGGAATAAAAATGTGGGATAAGATCATTGATATGACAAAAATATATTTTTCAACAAAATACTGTTGTGCAAAAGATTTTAATTATAGACAAGTGTTATATTCATAACCATAATTTTGATCATAAAAATTAGTGACTAATGAGGGTGGTGCATGACCATTTGTGTTAGATGGGAGATGAACATTCCTGACTATGCATCATGTTGCATGACCATTTGTAACTCCGTATTATATTTTCATTTTAGTTTTCCTTCTCATTATGATGGTTGACGAGAAAAAAAAAAAGGTTCAATTTGCATTATAATATCCCAAATCTTCCACGTACAGTATCAAGAAAATCAAGGCAAAGTAGCTTTGCACGTATTCATTTTTTTTTAGGTTATTTTTAATGGCTCATGATCAGGAGAGTAGGTTGGTGCTCCACGAGTTTAAGGTCTTCAAGTTTTCTCTCTTACAATTGCCCCAATAACAGCCACACACTTAGAGAATTGCCATTGAGTAGAGATGGTATATATTTAGAAGAGAAATTCTATTCAAACAATATCTAAATACAATAAAAAGAGATATAAAAATGGTTTATTTGATAGGAAAAAAAGTGTTGCAAAATATCATAAAAAAATGTACAAATACATAATTTAATTTATAATTAAATTAAGTAACACTAAGTATCTGTTTGTTAGTGTAAAATTTCTAATATATTCTCACGTCTTGAATGGGTTAACATTAATGATGATTTTCATTCTATTGAGACAATTCTTAATGATATTTTTTTTTCTTGTGAGCTTCACTCATTTGTATTTAATATACACCTTAATCTTATAAATAATCCTTTCTTTAACTCAACCTAATATATAAAAAAAAAAACTCATGTTAGGACTTAATCATAAAAGAAAATCCACCTAGAAGATTAAAAAAGTTTTTTAAGACATGTTAAATAATTTATATAGAAGAGTATAATCAACATAATGAACATTCATTGTTACATCACATATATACCATTCTAATTAATTTTGATTTTGTCATTAAATATTTTCATATACTAACATGATTTTTCTTCAAATTAATTATGAAGGTTGACGATAAAGGGTACAATTTGCATTATAATATCTCAACTCCTTCACGGTATGAAGAAAATTAAGGCAAAGTAATAGACATAGGAAGAGAAGAGATATATATGCACTAATTAAAATCACTTCTAAAGTGTGACCCGTTCATTGTCAACTTATCATTGAATGAAGGTGTAGTATTTAATAAGTCACATTGTTTATTTCTTGTCTACTTATCCCAGACAACCTTCTCCCACTAATCAAGAAATCTATGATGATTTCCATTATATCTTGTCTCCATATCATGCACCATTGATGCCAATTAGAATGGCGCAAAAGAATATATAGAAAATAAAAAAGGAATAAAATATTTAGTCATCTTCTATACTTTTCCTATTGCCCCAATTTAGAACCTCACTTTTTCAAACTAAAGTAATGAGTGTAGCTAGTGAAGTTATTAAAACCATGAGCTCAAGTTCTTTATCTTTAAAAAGAAAAAAAACCCTAATAACAAGAACACCGAGATATTGCCAATATCCTATGAATTTTCAATCATTGAACTTTGTTTATAGATTTATTTAATCTAACAATCATCACTTGATCAATTAGATAAAGACAGTATGAGAAGAAGAAAAAATGAATCCAATTTCAATTTAATTTAAATAGTCAATTTAAGCTACACTGAAATTAGTGGTTAAAATATATAATCTTAAAATGCTTGTATTTTCACTATGAATAGCAATATAACACCTGAAAGCTGTAATATTAAATTTAAAATTAAGAATGAACAAATAAATTTATTAGATAAGAAAATAAGGGTACGCAAACCAGCCATAAATTAAACTTGAAAAGGCAAGTTTTAATTTTGTAAACCAATCTATCTCTCATCCTAACCTCTTCCACTTCTCCGATTCCAAAAAATGATTTCACATATTCTTTACATAATACCTTCTATAAATTTCATTATAAAAGATCATACATGAACAGTTTGATAACAGTACATTATTTGATAGATATTATAAAATGATGAGGGAAAAATGAGATATATATGCAGAGCATTTTCAGTCGCTAATAGATACAAACCCTAATGACGAAATGCTTGAACTGGGGCAAATATGTGATGGTGAAAGCAAAGGGGAAAGAGTGGCATTGGAGAGTGATTTGGAAAGGAAGGAAGGGCAGTTGTGTGGAATTGACTTTGAAATCTTCATAATTAGGGCCACTTGAAGACATAAAATAATGACGAATGTTTGATTCCAAAGGTCGTAGTTGGTGTGATTCTGCTTACATGATGACAAGAAGCAAGGGCCTACATACCCTTGCTTTGGCCGTCTAAAGAGGAAGATGCTGATTTCATCCTCTCATCTTCATTCTCCTCAAGAACTAAAATTCCCAAATTCAAATTTTACTTTTTTTGGCTAGACCATACTCACTTTAACCTTAATATTGTAATTTGCAATCTAATTAACTTCACCTTGACCATACTCCATACCCATATTTTTCAATGTTAATTGGCTAGACGGTTAGTGGCCCACTTTATTTTGCATGGTCTACTCTTAAGTATGTGCACTAATTAATCACCCTTCTTTTACTTCTTTCTTTTTCAACCCTTCTTTGTTGCCTACAATGCCTTTCTTTCTTTAAATTTCAACCCTTGTTTCTTTGCCTTTCCTTCTCCATCATTTCTAATTCATCCCCAGATCATCACACATTTTATCAGATTTAAATAATATTGATTTATCATTACATTTATTCAATTTTTTTTCTAATATCAAACTTTTTAACAGATCTAACTTGCATATTTATAACTGTGACGTGTGATGTTATCTAAATTACTATTGTTTCTACTAATTCTTTCATTGAATGTACCCGCTTTGGGTGTGAGGGTGTTCAACGTAACAATTTGTATCGTTTAATTTTAGGAAAATCTGTATATCAAGTGTGTATTACCAAAGTTTCGGAAGATTTAAGTGATATATCGTATCCGAGTGTACTTTCATTTGATATTCAATGTAAGATTAAGTACTATTTTCAACTTGAACTGTCACTATTGACATTCATTGTATTAAAACTTGAATACTCACTTGAAAAGATTAATTATTATTTTATAATTCATTAGTATGTAAATTTTAATCAATATTTCAAAATATTTCATGAAATTTTATTTGAATGTTTTGTGTTAATCATCAAGTACTTGATTGTAGTTAATTTGATGTCCTCACTTTAATAATATGAAATACTATCAAAATTTTGTGAAATATAAGAAATATTTATTGATATTTTCATTCAAATTAACCGTATTAAAGTACATTCTTAGATGGAAAAGTGTTACACCTTTAATTAAAAAAAAAGACTTACATCATATCCATTACACACGTACAAAATATATATATTTTTATTGTCCTTCGACAAAGTGAGCATATTGATTGTGTTTCAACAAACCAAGACTTACATGCGAATTTGATCCATTACACATGCATGATTAAATATCCATTACACATTTATTGTCCTTCGACAAACTGAGACTTACATGCGAATTTGATCGTATTTTAATCATATTATATGAGATGAGTCCCTAATTGTTTTGGAGGAAGGAGAAGTCGTTCCTAAAAGACTCACTAAGAGCATTTCTTAAAATTTTCACTATGGATTAATTCAAAATACTTTGGAAGCATTTTTTTTACATTCTTGGAGAGATTATTTAGAGTTTGAGATTTTGCACTTAGGGTATTGTTATGTATATTAAATACAGAGGAAATAGGGTTTGAGATTAATCTCCCTTAAATATAAACCACACATACGATATTCTATTTATAATAGAGAGGTACAACTAAAAGAGTAACCGAAAGTAGAAGATATTGTTTGATATTGTGGTTAACAATATCTAACAATATCTTAACAATATCTAACACTCTCACTCAAGCTGAAACATACAAATCGTATGTGTCAAACTTGTTACAAATATAATCAATTTTAAGCCCTCGTAATGACTTAGTAAAAATATCTGTTAACTGATCATTTGAGTTAACAAACTCAGTCTTGATGTCTCCAGACATAATATTTTCTCGAATGAAATGACAGTCAATCTTAATGTGTTTGATCTTCTCATGAAAGACAGTATTAGAGCTAATATGAAGAACAACCTGATTGTCACACACAAGTGTCATTTGAGTGACATCTCTAAATTGTAACTCTCTAAGCAATTGCTTGAGCCAAACAAGTTCATAGGCAGCTGAGGTTATAACTCTATATTCTGCTTATGCACTGGATCTTACCACAACACTCTGTTTCTTACTTTTTCATGATATCAAGTTACCACCAATGAATACACAATATCCAGATGTAGATCTTCTATCCGAAGGAAATCCTGCCCAATCAGCATCTGAGTAGCAAATAACTCTTGTATGGTTATTAGAACCATATAACAATCCTTTTTCAGGAGATCCTTTAATATACTTCAAGATACGAATGACTACATTCCAATGATCTTCACATGGGGAATTAAGAAATTGGCTTACCACACTGACTGCAAAATGTCAGGACGAGTAACTGTAAGATAATTCAATTTTCCAATCAATTTTCTATACTGCTCAGGATCAGATATAGGCTCCCCCTGATTTGGTAGAAGTTTAGTATTGGGATCCATGGGTGTATCAATAGACTTTGAACTCATCAACTCAGTTTCCTCCAAAATATTCATGACATACTTCCTCTGAGATATAACAATACCATCATTGGATTGTGCCACCTCAATACCCAAGAAATATCTAAGTTTGTCAAGATCTTTGGTCTGAAAATAGTGATAGAGATGTTGTTTCAACTGAGAGATGTCATGGTTGTCATTACCTGTAAGAATGATGTCATCAACATATACTATCAAGTAAACACATCCAACACTCGAGTGTCGATAAAAGACAGAATGATATGCTTCACACTGAGTCATACCAAATTGTTGAACAACCTTGCTAAACTTTCTAAACCAGGTCCTAGGAGACTGTTTTAGGCCATATAGGGATTTGCGAAGACGATATACCATCCCAGAAGACTCCCCTTGAGCAACAAACCCAGGAGGTTGCTCCATATAGATTTCTTCTTGCAAATCACCATTGAGAAAAGTATTTTTAACATCCAGTTGATAAAGAGACCATTGTTGAAGAGCAATCATGATGATAAATAAACGAACAGAAGCCATCTTTGCCATGAGAGAAAATGTATCTCCATAATCCAACCCAAAAATTTGAGTATAACCTTTGACCACAAGACGTGCTTTGAGATGATCAATAGTACCATCAGGTCCAACTTTGATAGCAAACACCCACCTACAACCAACAATAGATTTTCCAGACAATAACGAGACTAATTCCCAAGTTCCACTATTATGAAGAACACTTAGTTCATCTAACATGGTCTGACGCCAACCAGGATGGGCTAAAGCTTCACAGACAGTTTTTGGAATGGTAATAGAAGAAATAGAGGAAATACATGTTTAAAAAGGTAATGACAGTCGATGAAAACTTAAAACAATATAATAGGAAGAGAGATTACGTGTAGAATGGATACATTTTTGGAGAGCAATGAGAATGTCAGACTTATGTGTCAGATCCGGAGGAGACAAAGTAGTTGACACTTGAGTGGAGTCACATAGTGGTGGTTGCGATTGATTTTGGCAACTATAAACCTGAAGATGCGGTGGAGAAGAAGTTAACTGCAAAGTAGAAACTAATGGTGAAGAAGATACAGTTAGAGGGTCACAAACGACAAGAACATTAAATGTACTAGGAGAAGAGGATTGAGTCAGACCAGGAAAATATGTACCTGTGTGTGCGATAGACGTAGTGGAACTAGAAGACTGTTGATCCTTAAACCATTTGAGAAATTTGTTGAACATAGTAGGTGTGTCAGATGCAATAGAAAAAGTAGGATCCCCAACAGATAAAGGTGGGGAAAGATTGGTCTGAACAACTGCAGCAGATCGAGGAGGATGATCATGTGATGCATAACACTTGTTAATCTTGTGACCTAGCTTGTTATAATGTTCACACTTAGGACGTCGTTTTCCCTGTTTACGAAGGCGAGTTCGATTATCACGGTGAGATGCCAACGCAGAAGAATCATTAACATAATTATAAGTAGTAGAAGGAGTGAAAGAAGTCATGAAGGGCGGGAGAACAAACCGTAAACAAATCCAAAGTAATCCAAAATGAGAGGACCAAAACAAGTCTGTCGAGACTAAATGATGCAGAAGACAACTGACGACCAACTCCGATAGTGGTGATCTCAATGGCACGATGGTCACTTGACCAAGACGAACAAAACAGTATGTTGCCGGTAAAAAATGAAACTCTGGCGATGGCTCCGGCGGCAGCGACGTGAACCAGTACACCAGGTAAGTTCCCAGGAAAGAGAGGTGAGTCACTAATGAACACGCTTAAATACCAAGTTTTTCCTTGTCAGAACCTTCCTAGACATGCACTTTCACACTACCAAATAATATCCAGTAACAAAAATAACTCTTTTTTTTATGTGGAAGATCAGTTTAACCGGCAGTGGCGGCGGTGGCGGCTCCAGGAGTGGACAAAGGCAAAAAAATTTCATAATAATCTTAAACTCTAGATATCATGTTGAATATAGAGGAAATGAGGTTTGAGATTAGTCTCCCTTGTGTATAAACCACACATAGGGCAATCTATTTATAATAGAGATAGATAAACCAAAAGAGTAACCGAAAGTAAACAGAATAAACATAAGATATTGTTTGATATTGTGGTTAATAATATCAAACAATATCTAAACAATATCTAACAATGTATACTCTTTTTAGGTGATTTTTATCCTTGTATTCTATTCTTTTGGTGTATTAGTGGTACCTAGTGTTAGGTATTGATTGTTGGTTGATTCAAGAGTGGTTCTTGGGGTAGATCGATTTTGTCTACTTGTTTTTGTTTTGTAATTTAATATTGTTCTAGTGAAACTTAATTCGTTTGTGGTGAGAACTAGATGTAGTCGAATGTAACCTAGGTGGTTGGTGAATCAATATAAAATATTGTGTTTTCTTTCTCCATCTCTTAATTTTTGCATTACATTATGTTTATTGCATTACCCTTCGATCAATTCTTGAAAAAATTGATTCTATTATTTCATAATTGATTTAATTCCCCCCACCCCCCTTCCCTTGAGATTGTTCTTAACATCAAGTTTTAGGTTGGTAAACGAGCTAACCTTAACTA